TTTGCTCCACACAACTCAGACAGCACTTTCGGTGGAGTTTCTCGTTGGCATCGTGCCAATAACCGCTGCGGTAGATACGGGTGATACGGGGACTAGCATCGGACCTACATTTGTGGGCGGACGGCCCCAGTGGACGTCTGGGTCGGTAGGTTGCAGCTTACTAGGGTGCTTAAAGGCAGTTGGCACGATGATTTGGTGCTCGGCCCAAAATGCTATTAGGGCGCTATATAGTAGAGGAATGGCGAAAGAACGAAAGAAGAGTGAAACGGTCAAAACCTGCGAAAAAGTGCTCCTTCTCACTGACTGTTTAGTAATCAATTTTGGGACGAGTTTCCGTAGGCATCTTGCCAATAACACGGCTGCATATGTGTACTCATATATCCATGCAGCATCACGGCCGCTTCATACCAATCCCTTCGCTTCATAATTTGCTTAGCAAATGAATCAATAGGAACGGTCGTCCATTTGTGGGCGGGCGGGCGTGGCGGGCGTTTGGGTCGGAATGTTGTGGCTTGATAGGGCCCTTATAAGGGCACCTCCTTGGAAAAGGCATTATGCAGCGCCTGCTCAGGGTCGCGGAATTCCGTCCTGCCAGGCGTATTAGTCCTACTCGTCTTGGAGGATTTATCGTGCCAACTGCCTTTGAGGGTACCCTTCTTGGTAGAAGCGCCACGCAGCGCCTGCTCAGGGGCGCCAGAATCTATCATGCTCCGCGTATAAATCCTACATGTCTTGGAGGATTTATCGTGCCACCTGCCTTTAATATGTTCCCACTATTGTTGATCTGGAGACGTTACTCGCACTTGATTTTGTCGCTGTTATCGTTCAAGTAAATGCTTATCGTCAATCTTGCTGTTGCGTAAGATAATTGCTTTTATCACTCAATCGCGCTATGACTAGAGTTCTTGTAAAAAATCTGCGCAGCAGAGTTTTGCAATAACAGTGATCACATCGCTAGACGCTGAGGTTTCCGATCGCACCAAATTGGAGCGGTTAAGCAGGCAGGGCGTCACCGCTGGCGTTCAAGAAACACATGGTTTGACCATTGAGTGTCGTTGCAAAGCTCCGACAAGACGATACCTTTACCGGGACAATCGCTCTTTATTTATTCTTTATTATTTGGTAAGCTATTACATTATTACTATCATACTCGTTATGTTTTTGGATGTCTGACAACTGAAGTTCCATGGGTTCATTATGCGACTCTCCCGTTCTTTCTGGTATCTCTTTTTAAGCAGTTCTCGTGGCCTAAAAGAACAAGTTAACAGCTGTTAATCACCACCGTAACTGAAACCCTGCTTTTTACTTGGTCGGTCCTTTCATGGCGTAATGCTTGCGGAAAGACTCGTGAAAACTTGCTTAGCTCGTTGACGACATTGTGATCCACCGGTGACTCATGAGTGAGTAGCGCCCCCGTTGGACAATAGGCTTCGACTTGGTGCTAAAGTCTTTTTCTTCTACCAAAATCGGAATAAACCGGTATACTATGGTTACTTGGCGTCCTTACTACGGTATCACATTCGTTTTAAACCATTCAGCCATTCGATGCCCATATGAGGTGATTTAGCTGCAAGCCTTGGTGATTTAGCTGCGGCCATGGTCAAACAGCACATGGTGGAATACTGACCTGTCGACATCCTGCCTGAAACCTCCTGCCTGACCTGTCGTCCTCCTGCCTGAAACCTCCTGCCTGACCTCCTACTTGCACCCGAGAAACTTCAAATCACACATTGAATGCTGCTCTATGCGATAGTTGCTGTTTAGCGCCACTGTTCACGCTCGGAAAATTATCGCCAGAATTCTGCGCAAAGTCACACTCTACAGACGCGACTCAAACATAGGCGCATCTCCGCTTCGAGATGAGGCGTTGAAGTTAGTCTTTACGGCCCTCTTACACTCAGGTTCAGATCAATAACATTGTGCCGATTAGATCGTGAGGTAATATTTTATTTTATTGTATTATTTAATTGTTGGACGGCAGGTGGATTATATGCGGCACATAATTGTATCAATCCAAATGCGGGCAAGAGATAATAGAAGGGGTAAGACAAATCCGATAAAATATTGAGAACTTTAGGAGAAAATCTGATAACCTGGGAGCCTGGTGGCCCTTATACGAAAGGCTCCAGGTGTCATTTGGAAAATATCTGGGCCAAAAATTTTGTTCAATAAGTGAAGCACCCTGATCACAAAGAATTTTAGACGCGTGAACTCGGTTGTCGAAAAAGGCAGCCCTGATAGCTTGTAGTGCCTCGCATCTAGCTCCTGAGATGGTGACTAAATGTAAAGAATTCATCCGATTTGACCATTGCTCTACCAGTGAGGATCTTGAAAGCCATCATGAGGTCATTGATTAATCTTCTATTAAGTAGACTGGGTAGCCCGTAAAGACGTAATCTTTCTAGGTATGTTCCTGGTGTAAACCACTCTATCGTGGTCGAGGGAGCTAAGAACTGCGCTGTTTTCAAGGAGGATGTCTCCTGTCATGCCATAGTGTCCTGTTTGTATCAGCGCTTGCGAGCTGAAATATTTGAGTTCAAAGGAATAAGGCAACGTAGTAGGAGTTGCTTCATAGTTCAGTATGACGACTGTTTACTCAACCCCTGGAGGCGCAGCTGAACGTGACCTGAGTTTGCAGCATCTCTAGGCAACTTCCTAAGTGGCGACTTCCGTGCTTCTCCGCAATTCGGATACCGGAAAAATTTTCTGCAAACGATGCCACATGAGCTGCTCCAGTCTCAAACAGCGCGTCGAGTGGTTGTGACTGAGTTTTCTCCTTTTAGTACCCACTGGGAGGACTTTTCGTGAGACATCGTGGTTTTGGTAATGAGAGCTTCCTAACGTAAGCCGTGCACATGACTTTCAGAGGATATTCCACGGAGAATGTCGCTTGCTTAGCCAAAAGCACATAAGCAGGAGACGTAGCAGGAGACGTTCACGTATTGGTGGGACTTCAGGGTGATGTCGCTGGATACTGGCACAGCTGTGACGGCCACAGCCTACTCTTATCAGCTTCATAACATGAATGACGACACGCTTGATTCCATCTGAACGCACTCAACTTCTTTCTCCTTCCTCGGCAATGCGAAGAGGACATGTGGCGATGAGGCTACTCCAAAGGATTACAGATTTTGACCGGCGTGTCCGACAGTACCCAACTCAACCAGTTTAGCAGCATCTAGCTACCACCTGTTTCAATCCTTTGTCCATCCTCAGAGAGCGAAAATTTTCAAAATTAACGTCTGCTTGAGAATGAGGCACATTTCTTCTTTTCGTCGTGGTAGAGAAACTATGCCAAAGGTGGGCACTTGTCCCAGATGGTAATGCTGGTTACCTTGTAGGTTGGAGGTGCCGTCTAGTAAAGGAAATCGCCCAGAAAATTTGGGTCAAAGTGTTGCAGGACTTCCTTTCCAATCCAGTGGAAACGCGAATTCCTCAAGGATACGTCTTCTACGCTCAAAATTCCTGAGATGCGTGGGAGTACTTATATCGAACATACGCCCGTATGGCGGTGTGAGATATTTTCATTCTGGAGTAGTTGCAATCATGTCCTTGTCCAGCACGCCATGCACTAGACTCCCATCCTGAATATTCATATCATTCAAGGAAGAGCGTCGATAGCGATTTCACTGGGAAAGTATGCAGTGTAACAAGCCTAATCGCTAGAGTGGACTTATCACGCCACACTACCACTTCGCTTTTAACCCTCATTGCTCTCACTTTTTCACAGCCGTGTTCGCTATTCATCCCTCAAAACCCGTCACCACCCTTTGCAGCCAGTCAAGTACGCCTCTCCCCGCCTACCTATCCCTGTTGAGTATTACTCATTCGCTCCTGTA